AAAAATAATTTTAAAGGAAAAATATTTTAAAGCATGAAACTTGTACTTTAATATGCTTTAAGCTATTTTTTTAATTTTATAGTTTTCTTTATAGTTTTGTATCTTAATAAAGATCATTATTATGTTCTTCAAAGTTACATACATTCAACAATCTGCAGCTGGATAAAAATTCATTTTTTCAACAATTTTAATATTTTTATAAAAAAAAAGTACAGTTTTTCTACCTAATGCTTTTTAAAAAATTTTCTTACAATCTTTTTCTTGATTGAATTACTGATGACTTTGAAGATAAATATGCATTTCTTATAACTAACATTGAAATTCAACGAAAAATCAACGCAAAAAATTAAAAAAAACATTTTAAAACTCGAACATTATACTTTGACGTAGTTTTGATCGTTGTTAAATTTAATTTTGTAGAATTGGGGAGATAGAAAATTTTTGTGATGATTTTTAGATAAATTTCAACGTTCATTGTAAAAAATATAGTTTTAACTTCAAAATCACATAATTCGGTCCAAAAAAGTCATAAAAAGATTTTTAAGAAACGTTTTGTACATAAAATTCTACATTTTTTGTAAAACCATTACATTTTTTGAGGAAAAAATTTTTATTACGCTATATTATGACTCATCTAGACTAATCTGTAAATCTTAGAGTTTCGATTTAGTTTTATGTCATCATCTATATACATAAAGCTGTAATTATATGAAAATGCATATTTTATATTATTAATAAATTACGTAAAATGCCAAAACGGCTTACATGAATTACATAAAAACAAAGCGTTAAAGCCTATTTTTATTTTGCATATTTTGCATATATGTATCTTTTTCAGCATTTTTTTGTAAAATTACATATTTATATTTTGTCAATTATATTATTGATTATTGGAATATTATAAATATGTACGATCAAGTTCGATAGTTTCTATCATTGAATGATTCCACTCGTACAGTGCGAATACTAAACCGCTGAAACACTTAACATATTTACAATTCTTTAAGAAATTAAATATTTAAGACTTAATTACTAATTTGTATTCAATGTCATTTTGTGTTAATACTGTTATATATATTTTTCGCTCAAAATTAATTAATTTGTTTATATTTTAACAATTATTTCTTTCTGTGCTTTTCATTTAATAAATATATTACATATTTTGCATCTCATGCAAATATCTCATTGTAAGTATTTACAGTGTTCTGTATGAAATTAAATATTCTAGATTTAGTTTTGTATTCAAATAAGTTTATGTTAATACACAACAATGTTATATTTTTTGCTTCAAGTTAAATTATTTGTTTATTTTATTACATTTTTGAATATATTTCTTTCTGTACTTTTCATTTAATAAAATTTTATATATTGCATAATTTTGCATATTTTTACATTATTTCCTAATATTTTTGCATATTTTTATCAAATATTGTACATATAATATATACATGTGTTTTTGTTTTTAATTCTTACTGCACTGAAGAAGACTAAAACTATGATCGAAACATTTGTGATGTGATTATGGTTTGGATTTTTTGTAATAGTTTAATAATAAATGTGTAAATATTATGTTACGATATCCGTATTTGGCTCTTGTTAGTTAGTTTTATATTCCTTTTTTATTTGATCTAAGAAAAACGAAGGCAAAATTAAATCACACTTTAAATTAAAATTTAATTTAAATAATAAAAACTTAAGGAAATTTATCAAAGTCTGCACCAAAATAATTCTCCAGAAATGTTGAATTCATTTAATGTGTTGTCAAAAGTGGAAGATTATATTTTTTGTACTTTGAAAAGGACACAATATTGATGTCTGTAATTATATTATATTTTTGTGAATACATGAATCATTATTATCACAATAAAACAATCTGGTGCAGGATCTCATTGGTAAATTTCCTTAAGTTTTTATTGTTAAATTTTGAAGTTTTTTTTATTATACATTATTATTATTTAATTTAAATGTTCAATGTAATAATATTGATAAAATCACAAACGTATTATATAATATAATTATCCTAAATGCATTAGTTTTTAAGAAACTCTACAAGTCGATCTTCTTATAAAAAAAAAGATATTTCAAGATAAAAGCTATTATAAGTCATTGACCTGAGGTTATCCGAAAAGATCTAAGGAATTTCCCTAAAGCTTATCCTATGCTTATCGCGAAGTGTGTAAGACACATCTTATAAGATTGATGCAAAAAGGGAAGAATAAAATAAAGCACATAAGATCTTTCCGATAAATACTATCAAATTACTACAAATTTTACATTAATGCAGAATATACAAGATAATTCTTATAAAGTATTTTAATTTTATTTTTAGGAGTAATTTTTTACCTTTTGATCAAGACAAACATTTTGTATAAATTCATCATGTTCATTGTATAAATTCATATGTTTGAAACAGTTTAATCTCAAACAAATAAGGTATTAAAAGTTGAAGAAAAATTTTATTTTTTCAAAAATTTTAAAAATCGGTTAAGTTATTTTAATCTTTATACATAGAGGAAGTCTAGGCAAAGCGAATATTTTTTATTTTCGCTAATCTATTTGAAATAGTGCTATTAGTCTCTAATTATTGAAGGAATAACCGATCGGCGACGCCATGAAAGTATGAAACAATATATGATTGCGCTTGTTTGTGTTTGATAAAGAAATGAAAGAAATTGTATATTTTCTTGCGATTTTCGCTAAAATAGAGTTTAATTATTAGCAGTAACTGTTTCTTAATCAGGGAATGATTTTTTATAAGAATTCTTTGACTTTAAATGAGTATTCGAAGTTAAAATTTTTTACTTATTGCTTAAACTTATTCTAACTTTTCCAAATTCGTACTAAGTAAGTTCTTTAGGCAAAGCTCAATGGCCCATCCTCGTTACTCAGTATGTGGTTGCAAATCCAATGTGATCGAAAATATCGAGAAGACGGAGAGACAGACGATCTTTCAAGTGAACAAAAAGCACATGATTGTTTACATTCGTTTCACTTTTTTTTTTCACAATGCAGTTGATATATGTTTTTCAAAAATACACTGATCCACTGTCCAAAGACTAGATTCAGTACAAAATGGGCTCATGAAGGCTGCACTATGTATAGAGGATTTGATAGCTACTTTTATGACGATTGCCGTCACTGATTTCGATTTTTTTTAATTCTATCTTTATTGCTCGAGTGAGTCGGGCAAAGCGGATTTCTCCTTTTTACTAAAAGGACATTTAAATGTTCAAATTTTTAAATTTTATTTTATTTTATTTCAAAGTTAATTCCATTAATAGAATTATGAGAATAAAAAAGGTTTCTGATTTTAACTTTAACTGTATCATTTTTTTTCTCAAACCTTAACACATCTGCTTTGTCTGGACTTCCCCTATACAAAGTTCCATCAAAATAACACTTAATAGTTTTTGAAATTTTTGAAAAAACGAAGTTATCCCTTCAATTTTACACCCTGTAATGTTAAAACTAAATCATTTCGGACATGTAAATATGGTCATGTAAAGTTTTATTTTGAATTAATAGGAAGAACCATCCCTTAAAATCTCTTTTAAAATACTTAAAGACCACCCTGTATATTGGAGGATTGTCAAATATTTAATTTAAAATCAGTCTCAATCAGGATGAGTCTCGTATCTGATAATTTGCGAGGTAATATTTTTGGTCAAAAACATCGTCGGAAGGGGTAATCAAAATCGAGCAAATTAAATCGCAAATAAAATTGTTACATTTAGTAACTTTTCAGAGATGCACTCATTTCGAACACAAATTGCATTTCGCGGCGATTGAACTGGAACGGAGTTCTATGTACAATAACGGTAAGTTAATTATGCGTGAAGATTGTTTAGCGTATCCACAAATGAAATTTATATTCACAGATTTTAAATCGTTTTTCCGTGCGAAAATTAGTTTACGCATATCGTATATATTTCGTTAAATCGTATGTTACATTGTATGACATTTAATAAGAGAACGTTTAATAGACGAAGAAATAGAGGCATTTGTCACTCTTTATCAAACTATATCTTATTTTCGATCAAAGCAATTTTTGATCATTTTTCAATAACGCGAAGAAATTCTCTTTAAATATTTCTGTTATCAAGAAGAAGAGACAAGTATATAGGCTCGATTAAACGCATGCAAATGCAATTGCACGTGACGACGAAAGAGTTTAATATCTGTCGTGCTTTATAAAGTTACCGCGTAAGCGCGTGAGAAGAGGGTCAAATGAATTTCATTAACTCGTTAGATCTACCATCGTCGTCCTCATTGTCGTCGTCCTCATTGTCGTCGTCGACGTTACGCAGCGCACGCGAAACATCGTTAATTTCGAAGTAATCGCCGTATTGGCGCGTGCGGTGAATATCCTCTCTTTCACGTCATAACGTAACGAGAATGAGAGAGAGAGAGAGAGAGAGAGAGAGAGAGAGAGAGAAGACGCGATCCAATTTACTACGGAGATCCTACGTCACCCCCGCCTGTCGAGGAAATCAATTACGTCGAATGAATACAACATGAAGGGTGTAAAGGGTTAGCCGCGAGTCCCCGCGAACGGTGACCGGAGCGTTGAGCGACACGAAATGCATCGCGCGGACACGAAGAGGGAATTTTAAGAGAGAGAGCCGATGTCCGACGCAAAGAGCCGGACAGATTTGATTTGTCAGGACACAGAAATCGCCGTTGACAAATCTCGTTATGGGTCGACTCGACGCTCAGTTGATTAGGGCTTAAAAGTTCCTGCCCTTTACGCTCAAGGAATCTTCGATCACTCGATAGAGACGGAAGTTTTATAAAAATGACGAAAATTTACGAGAGCGTTAATAAAAGTATCAAAATATAACCAATAAACTAATAATTTAAATGATATAATTTGATAGAAATAAATAAATAATATATCTACTAAATAACATATCGTTGTAAGTTACTCATTAGATTTTTCTCTTTTTTTTAAACATTAAAATAAAGCAGCAAAATAAGCGTTCTTAATCAATGTATCGAACCTTGGCGGGATCGGACTTCTCCTCATGTTCGTTGAAGGTCTGCGAAGCTCTGGACATGGTGTTCCTTCGGGTTGTTGTCGTGCCATCTTGCGAGGGGCGCACGAATTCAATTCTGCCACCCTCGACAACGATGTTAGGGGCTGGTGGGTAATTCTCCGTGTTACCGACCGTGTCGCAGTAACCCAAAAGGCCAGCTTTTTCCCCGTATAAGGGATGGATTTGCCTGCAACAGAAGGTAAAAACTCGCTGGAGAATGCTTCGATGATAGCAGATGGTGCTTCGTGCCGGAGAACCGACATGTTTATAATAACGCTTCATAATTATTGTAATATTTAATTTTTTTTATATCTAAAATATAAAACATTTAAAAAATATCAAACATTATTATTCGAATAAATTTTGATTGATTACGTCATAAGAGATTTTGTGTACTAATAATTTTATATGTAAGCTTTAAGCTTTTATTCCATTGAAAGACTAGTCGCATAATCATTTGTTAAACGGATTTTTTTATTGTAGCGCAAGCCTTTGTTACTTTATATATATTTATATAAATTGAAAATATATTGTGTATGTGTAAGAGTCATTCGGAGTAAACGCGCGCATTATATAAGTGTATAAATTGTTTGTATCTCAATGAGAAGAAAGGACGGGAATTGGTTACTGTCAGTCGGTTATGGCGCTTGCATGCCAGTAAAAAGTAAATAACAAGAACTCTATGCACAATAATAAAACAAATATATATGAAATAGCACCAATAAATTTTTGGTTGCTAGAAAAGTGTATCACGCCAAATTAAAGAAGAAAAAAGAGATGAATACATTTTTTCAGGGAATGGAAAGTTACTTTTTAAAAATAACAAGTTACAGATACTCATTATCGAGTAGAAAAATAAGTTACTAGTTACCGATTTTTGCTCATTACAGTTACCGTTATTTGAGAAAGTAACTTTTCATTACTTTTCCATTATTTTTTAAAAATCGACGACTGCCAATAACAACGGACGGGGCTAGGGGCTTTTTAGTCTCAAGCTACGCACTGTAAAAAATTTTTTTGTAAAATTACAACTATTGCAGTGGGTAATTTTTAGACCCACTATAATAGTTGTAAACATCCACGTATTTGTAAATTTGCAATATGCAAATAAAAATAATTTCTTGGTTTGTAACTAAGCAGATTGTGGAAGTAGAATTACAATGTGTATGTGTAGTTATAGGAACGATAATATGACAATTTGATTATTATACATTTAACAGCAATACACGAAGAATTACTGTTATATTACGTAATATTAAAATTTGGATAATTAGAAAATATTCAAAATATCCTGCTATTTATGTAATTATAAAATAAGATATGTATTTACACAATAAAAAATTTACATATTTTTTGTGAATTACATAATTTTTGTAAAATTACATAATTTTTTTATATTTACAGGACTAATCGTGTAATTTTTATCTATTATATGTGTAAATTTATGAAATTTTTTTACAGTGTGAGTGGCTTGTGTCGTATTGTGTCCATCTGCAAAGTAATAACAAAGGTAACCGTAAGATTCATTACCGTTACCAAACAAATATAACTTCGTTACCGTTACAATTTAAAAAAAAAAGTAGGGGAGACCGATGCTAATAAACTCATTTTTCAGTTTCGAATCTTTACAGACAAAATTAAGAAACTTAACGAAAAAATGAATTCTACACCAGTTAATACATTTGACCTAATGATATAATATTTTAATAATAAGGGGAAACTGATAACTAATATGAAAAAAATGCATTTTTCTGATGCATTCCATCTAATTCAACTAGCTCCGGGACTGGGGTAATTCGACTAAGATTATTAAAATAAAGATTAATGTATTTTAAGCTACATCTTTGGCTACATATTAATAAAACTTTTATAAAAATATATTTTAAACGCAAACATTTTCTTCGCAGGGCAAACAGTACTTCTTTTTGCAAAATTTATTCATTTCGTGCAAAACCATGTCGAATAAGTCTAGTTTTCGAGATTGGACATTGGAGGGAACTAAACTTATAACATTTATCACTGAGGAAAATCTCTTTAAAAGAATAAAATTTTGAGTAAGTATTATAAGAGTTGTCACTAAATGAATCATACAGTTCCGAAATGAATCATGCTATGGTTAGTCTACTATCTCCATCCGTTCATTTTTTAAAAACATTAACAATATACGATAACAGAGACACATAAACAAAAAAAAATCCGTTGGAATTTATTAAATAAGAACTACACTTACTATCTAAATAAAAATCAAACATCTCAGACAATCATATAGGATAGTAAAACAAAAACTTTAAGAATAAAAATATTTACTTAGGTGTACGATTTTTTAAAATTGTGACATAACTTCTATTATAGATGTGCTCGTAACAAGATGTTACAGCAGACTTAGCGGCAGTCGCTGCTGCGTGCTCTTTACATTTACGCATGTCTCGCATGTTTGTTTTTAATGTAGCCTCGATTATTCTACTTATCCCTATATTCAATTGACCCCGGTCTTCCCTAACGCAGTTACCAGTAAAGTTACCAAAAAAGGTTCAAATCCCACTAAAGTTTTTTAATATCAATTTGAAGTAGTTAATTCCAGGTATAATTATTATAAATGGCCTAGTTTCCACCGAGGGCTTAATCTGGATCAGAATATAAGAACTAACCAACTACAGTCGAGCATTCTCCTGTAACAGAGGAATACTCGACTGTAGTTGATTAGATTTTACATTCTGATCCGGATTAAACCCTCGGTGGAAACTAGGCCATTTATAATAATTATACCTGGAATTACTTCAAATTGATATTAAAAAACTTTAGTGGGATTTGAATCTTTTTTGGTAATTTTACTGGAAACTAGGCCAATGTCTTAGGAATAAAATTTGTAACCTTTAAATATGAATGTTTTTTTTTTTCAAATATTAAACTAGTGTCAGCTCGGATCTAATCCATTCCAATTCATTCAATTCATTTTCATGGATTTAAAGTACACATTAAAAAATTTTTAATTTATTTAAATCCATTTTCGCTTACTAGGCACATCTAAAACTGTTCTAAATGATATTGATTCCGATTTTTTATATTTTAAAATATAATCTAGGAAGATGCTTAAAAAATACCTATAAGAAAAATCTAGAGAGAAAAATCCGTTACTCTTAAGATAAAATAAATACAGCCAAGAAATTGATTGAAAAAGAATTTAGCAAAAGAAAAGTAGTTAAGAAGGCATTAGTAAATTTGTATTGAGAAAAAGATTAAAGCTTCAATGTGTACCGTTGTGTCTCACTCAACGCATTCATCTGTTTCTATTTAACATATTGCAACGCCATCTCTTGCAAGATCAAACATACTACTGCTAGACATAATTATTGCATTCCCTGATGTTCGCAAGCTGAGTTTTGAGTTTGTTGAATCAAATAAAATATCTTATCGTTTTGACACTGTAGTAAGAATGGCTGACCGCGACTAGAGAGCTTTCTTATTCGACATAATGATTTATGTCTTCTCGTCAATCCACATCAATTAGTTTAGCAAGAACAATAGGGTTCAACAAAATTTAAGTTGACAGATTCTACAAAAATTTTGGTGAATTAAATGAGGAATACAAATTTAAAATTAACCATATCCATAGTATGAATGAAATCGGCATGAGTACAGTTCCAAAAAAACTCCAAAAGTTATTATGAAGAGGAAAAAAAGTTATTGGTAAATTTAATATCATCAGAACGAGATATCACAATTACTGCCATTTGTTGAGTATATTAAGTTATTTTATTCCTTCAACTTTCACCAAAAACGCCCTAATACTAAAAGATGGATCAACCGATTCAGTTTGTATAGTTTCAGTCAGTGTTTATATTAACACGAACTTATTTTTAAATTCGATGCATCACTTCAAAGAATACGCACATCCGATGAAAAACGTGATCCTATTCTGCTTATAAATGACAATCTTCACATATTAGTTTGGAGGTTGTTCAGTTCGTGATAATGGAATAATAATGTTTACTCTTCCTTTTTATAGCAGTCATAAAATTCAATCGTTGAATAGATCACTATTCAGTCCTTTAAAAACAAAATATGGAATGAGTGTTACAAGTGAATGACACAATATTTAAGTAGAGGTTTGTCCCAATATTAAGTATCTGTTCAATATCGGTTATAAGCAAGTTGCAACAATTTCTAATGCTGAATCAAGATTTAAAGTTTCAGAAATTTATCCTTTCAATGATTAATCTTTTCGATGAATAGTTTATATATATATATATATATAGGTTATGTTTAAAAATCTTGTTCTGTTTCAAAAATCAGTGTGTCGCACGTGCTTGAAATAGAATGAAAAGAGATTGTGTTTTTGAATGAGTTTTTAATTTTTATGAAATAAGAAAAAAGACATGAATAACCAAAAAGTTTATTTCACTAAAAAAGGAAGTAGAGCATCGATATTTCATCCAGGAAGATTGAGGATAGGGAACAGAAAATCGTCAAATAAATCAAAGTTGGAAGGCGAAACAGAAAGTTACAGTTCGTCTGCAAAAAAACTCATATCTCAGGATGATTATAATGATGTTATAATAAATCAATCATTTTTGTATCGTATAATAAAACTTTCTAAACGTTTTCTCAGCGATATCAGCTCTCATTGTTTGCAAAAATTGATCAGACGTACAATTTTACAAAAAAGTTGTCGTGACTTAGGATTTAAAGTTTCCGTTGTAAGAAATGTGCACCAATGACATCTGTTCGAATTCTTTAATTGACAATAAGGTCTAAATCATTGCTTCGTATTTGTTATGAGATTACTTGGAATTGGCTACAACAGCATTCAAAAATTCTGTGTCTTCATGGAGTTATTGCAACCAATATTTCAATCATTTTATTACAAAATAATTGAAGGTATTAACATCGCCACGTCTGCCGTCTGCGAACAATCAATAAAAAATGCAGGTGTTGCAGAAAAACTATTGTCAATTGAAAATTCAATTACCGACAGTATCATTGTGTCCAACAATGGATCTTAGAGAAAACGCGGATTTTTTTTTGTTTGGGATAGTTTCTTTAATTGGCCATTACACCGGTAAAGTAATTGTTATCGTGAAATCGGTATATTGTAAAAGTTGCGAGTTCTAGAAAAACAAGAAGGGCATTACAGAATACGAAGAATGGAGTAAATCGTATACAAATTGCTAAATAAATCACGAGGTT